TCCAGGCTCGGCACCCCCGCGCACAGCACCCCCAGAGTCACCTGTAACCTCGACCGGGTCAACTGCGTCTACCTGGGACACACCTGAGGGGGCAGGAACCTGAGGGGGGAGGGGGTCTACCGGGGGGGGAACCGGCACAAGGAAGTCCGGTGGAGGGGGGAGGGAAGGAGTGCGGTAGGGGAAGAGGCGGTAGAAGGGGACTGACTCGTCGAACGTGACGTCCTGGGAGGACAGAACACGACGAGAGGAGGGGTGGTAAAACTGCCACCCTGGAGCGTCTGTGGGGAAGCCAAGGAAGACACAGGGAGCAGCACGAGGGGACAGCTTGTCCACAGACAAGTCGCGGACAAACGCCCGAGATCCCCAGACACGGAACGCCGACGCATCTCCAACCTTCCCCGTCCACAGCAAGACTGGGGACATCGCGGGCCGAGAGACCCTGGGGTGAAGGTTGAGCTGATGCGCCGCGTACCTCACAGCAAACGGCCACAGAAAATGGGGGGCAGCCGCATGCATCATGGACGTACGAGCGACATCCATGACCATGCCAATGCGGCGCTCAGCAATCCCATTTTGCTGTGGAGAGTCTGGAAGCGTGAAGGTCTGGCGGATCCCCCGTGCACGACAGTAGTCTCGCAGAAGGCGCGAGGAGAACTCTCCGCCTCTGTCCGAGTGCAGACGCAGAACAGGAAAGTCCGAGCCGAAGCTCTTCCTGAGCTGGAGACGAGCCTCGCGGATCCAGTCGATCAGCACCTCAGTGACAGCACCCTTGCTGCGCAAGGGGAGGACTGTGGTGTAACGCGAGTAGTCATCAACCACCAACAGGAAGTAGCGCTCGTGACCCTGCCCACGGACGGGGGCTGGGCCCCACACGTCCATGTGAAGCGTCTGCAAAGGAGCCTCTGTCGAGGGGAACTGGGAGGAGTGAGGAGCAACCCGGAGGCGCCCCTCGACACAGGGGACACAGGAAGGTCCTGGCCCGGAGGGAAGGGGAGGGAGAGACTGGGGAAGACCAGAGACAAGGACACGGGAAGCCATGCTCCGAAGACGGGGCAAGGAGGGGTGGCCAAGACGGTGGTGCCACAGGAGAGTCTCGTGAGACAGGAGGCGACAAGAACAGGGGGCAGACTCAGGACCTGACCGGGACGCAGCAGCAAGCACCTGACCTGACGCAGCTACCTGACCAGACGCAGGGACAGGAGGAGACGTAGTGGTCAGGGTGTAGAGGCTCGACCCCGGCCGACGCGAGAACGTGGCCAGGTGTCGGCCTGTGCGTGCGTCCGTGCAGTGGGTCACCCGCTGACTCGCAGGAGTGAACTGGTGAACCCCCGCATCCTGCAGGTCCGCACCACTCACCAAGTTCGTAGAGAACGAGGGAAGGTACAGACCAGACAGGGTGCCCGAAGGGGCAGCCGAACACGGGAGGACAGTGGAGAAGTGAGAGAGGACAGGACCCCCAGAGGGGTCAGCCAGGGAGACCGCAACCGGCCGGCCAAGCGGCGTGAGGGTGGTGCGGTCTCGAAAGAAGGAGCGAGAAGCCCCGGAGTCAAGTGTGAAAGTGAGGGAGGACGAGGGCGACGCAGTACCTGAGAGCGCAATCTCACCAGTACCTGAGAGCGCAGACGCACTGGCACCTAGAGCAGCAGCCTCACAAGCACCTAGCGCAGCAGTACCAATGCCCGGGTCGGGCGGGAAACACCGGTAACAGTCACCCTCCTCACTAATAGTCACAGCATACATAGCAGCAAGGATAGCATCATAGTCAAGATCAAAGATCGCTACACCAGCCCTAAGAAGCTCATCCCAGCGGGGAATCTCACTAGCCTCGGGGAACTGCTGACGCCAGGCGTCCGTCAGGCGGCCAAAGCAGCGCTGGGTGGGGTGGGCACCCCCACACTGCTCACCCGCGCGGTCGCCGGAACGAAGGACGTAGGCACACGGACCTGCACCCCCACCCCTCTGACGCCGAGTGTACCACTCACGAAGCTGCTGGGGCGGAGGGATGTCCCGCGAACGCTGCTGCTGCTGCTGCTGCGGGTGCTGACCACCACCACCACCGCTCCGCTGCTGGGTACCACCCCGACCAGCTCCACCCCCTCCGCCACCACCGCCTCCTCCTCCGCCTCCTCCGCCGCCTCCACCTCCACCGCTGCCACCACCACCACCGCTGCCGCCACCACCGCCGCCTCCGCCGCCGCTGCCACCACCACCACCACCACCCCCGCCACCAGTCCCGCCGCCACCCCCACTCCCTCCGCCGCCTCCACCGCCACCTCCACCGCCCCCTCCAGCTCCACCCGCGCCCTTGCCCCCTTTGCCCTTGCCAGAGCGGCGTCTCCCACTAGGGGCAGACGCCGCGCCGACCGACTCAAGACCAAGCAGGTCGGTAGCAGCAGCAGAGGCAACAGAGGGCAGCAGGGGGGAAGGAGAGCACCCCTCAAAGATGGGGGTGCGAGGGTCACCACGAGAAGCTCCTACAGCGACGATGCTCTTCTCCGCCGCGAGGAGGGCCTTCTCGAGGACGTCGATGGTGAGGGTGGTGGGACAGACTGCGAGAAAGTGGTCCCTGACTACGCGAAGGGAGTCAGGGAGGCGCGCGACTACGTAGTAGAGAGTGATGTACATGGGGGGGGGTTCTTAGCGCAGAACTCAGCAGGAAGGGTGGCGCGGTAGCGAGTGTCACTAGTGCGGAGGTGCGTAATGAGGTCAGCGACAGTGGGAAAGGCAGATAGGTCAGGAAAGAGGTAGGGAAGCATGAGACGGCTCAGTGCAGCAGTGGCAGGGGAGGAGTAGCGCGCAACTACAGCGTCGTACAAGGTCTGAGCACTCTTGTACTGACTAAAGTGCACGCGCTCAGAGGTAGGGAGGTGGCGACGCACAGCAAGACGTGCAGCAGCATCGCGGGTGGCCCACTGAGAGCGCACAGTGGGATCAGCATCAGCGGCAGGGGCAGGAGAGGCGCCAGAAGTGAGGTCAAAGAGAGAGAGGCCGTCTGCCCTATCGCACTGTAGAAACAACTGCATATCGTCTACCCAGACCTCAAAGTCAATGGCTCGACCCTTAGCGTCAAAAGCGAGGACACTGGGGGTAGCCATGACGACGACAACGAAGCAGTGCAAGCAGTAGGGGAAGTGCATGCAGTGACAGCGGTACTGTGCTCACCGGGCAGGGCAGGTCGGGCAGCTGTGCAGAAGGGCGGTTCGGCGACTCAGCGACTCGGCCACTGGGCGGCTCGGCTCCCGGGCGGCTCGGCGGCAGGGCGGCTCGGGTGCCGGGCGGCTCGGGTGCAGGGCGGCTCGGCCGCACTGCTGCTCGGCTGCTGCAGGTGGGCGGCTCGGCTGCTGCAGGTGGGCGGCGCGGCTGCTGCAGGTGGGCGGCTCGGCTGCTGCAGTTGGGCGGCACGAGAGCAAGACGGCGGGGCGTAGCAGGGACGACGGGGCCGCGTAGCAGGGGCGGCGGGGCCGCGTAGCAGGGGCGGCGGGGCCGCGTAGCAGGGGTGGCGGGGCCGCGTAGCAGGGGCGGCGGGGCCGGTGTTGCAGGGGCGGCGGGGCCGCGGAATAGGGGCAGTTGGGCCGCGTAGCAGGGGCGGCGGGGCCGGCGTAGCAGGGGCGGCGGGGCCGCGTTGTAGGGACGGCGGGGCCGGCGTAGCAGGGACGGCGGGGCCGTAGTAGCAGGGGCGGCGGGGCTGCGTAATCGGGGCAGCGGGGCCGCGTGAGCAAGGGGCGGCGGGGCCGGCGTAGCAGGGACGGCGGGGCCGCGCGTAGTAAGGGGCGGCGGGGCTGCGTAGCAGGGGCGGCGGGGCCGCGTAGCAGGGGCGGCGGGGCCGCGACGGGGCGGCGGGGCCGCGACGGGGCGGCGGGGCCGCGACGGGGCGGCGGGGCCGCGACCGGGTGGCGGGGCCGCGATCGGGTGGCGGGGCCGCGACCGGGTGGCGGGGCCGCGATCGGGTGGCGGGGCCGCGACCGGGTGGCGGGGCCGCGATCGGACGGCGGGGCCGCGAAGAGGAGGCGGGGCCGCTCGAAGGGATGGCGGGGCCGCCAGGAAGGGCGGCGGGGCCGCGTCAGAAGGACAGCGGGGCCGCGAGGGGAAGGGCGACTCGAGGGGTCGCTAAAAAAAAAATCGCGCGCCTCGGGGCGCGCTTCGGTGGGCCCTGGGCGTAGTTCCCACAGGGAACCCGCTCTATACCATGTGGAAATAAAGAACAGGAATGAAAATGACTAAGTGAAAGTTGGGTACAAATACAAACCCTAGAAAGCTGTACCCCATATGTGCTACCCCACTATAGCCTACAACAGCTATGTCATATATATCTGACACATACATGGGCAGTTGAACTACGAGACCTCGACACTAATGCGCAGATGTCATCTTGATGATTCAAACGAAGAACCGATGAGAGGCGAAATCGATTTATAAAGCCAGTGAAACGAGTCATTCGAATTTACGCTATCGCCATGGCATTGTCGCTGGGCGCTGCTGGTGATCCCATTGGCGAACTGAGAGACACGAGCGAGCGACGCGTTCAGAGGAGGCGAACGAACGATAGACGTCAGGACGACGCTGACCCCGAAGGCAAGGGCCCACATCCTGCCGGAGCTAGATCGAAACGTGACGCAGTCGCTTGACTCAATCGCGGCTATAAAGCAAAACATCCATACTTAAATATCTGCGCAATGAATATTCCATCGTCAATATAGCAACTCAAGCTGGCAGTTTTGGAACTCCCCTCGACCTTCATTCCTCATTTCGGAAGCGACTTATTCCACCATCACTCCTTAATTCCGCTCCATCTCGGCATCGACACACTCCGTTTCTATCTCCTCCTGTATACTGACTCCCTCTTCCTCTCTCTCTTCCTCTCCCGCTCCCTCTCCTTCTTCTTCGCCCTCTCCTTTTATCTCGCCCTCTCGCTCATAGACCATGGCAGCGATGTGATCGACGCGCTCCCAGCGAGACTCTAGCACCATATCTTCTGCCTACTGCCTTTTGAGGCACCTCAAATGTCCTTTCACTCTCACTCTCCCTCCCGCTCGATCTCAGACCAGGGCAGCGATGTGATCGACGCGCTCCCAGCGAGACTCTGGCACCACATATTCCGCCTGTTGCTGGAGCGCCCCTGCAGCGCCACCCCTCCACACTCCGCGGGCGGCCGCTACTACTGCCCCGCGCGCAGCACGGCGCAGCGAGCAGAGGAGAATCGCAGTGGCACCGGCGGTGGCGGCGCTGGTGGTGCTATCAGCAATGTCCCACGGGCCGCTGAGAATGGTGCGGCTAGAGTGGCACCAGTGCCCGTGTTCGTGAATCCCGGGGTGTCGCCGTGCTGGCTGCATGCGCACAACGCTCGCACGTATGGCTCCTCGTGGCCTCTGCTGTGCTGCGCGCTCGCCAGCAAGAGACTTCTCCACCTCGTCGCCTCCTTCTCCGTGAGTGCTCCACTCGTTCTCCGTCCCTCCACGCCCTCTCCCACCGAGTGCTGCCCATCAACACACTCTCGTTCCCCGTGATACTGTTCTCCAGGAGCAATCACCATGTCTTCTTCCTCTTCACTTCATTGCATTCTCAGCTGTAAAGAAATTGCGTGTGTCTCTGTCCGTTACAGCCATGCGTGGTATCTTCGTGCTCTCTCCTTCTCTCTCGCTACTGCTCTCACTGCAATGTCGGACTTACTCTTTATAAGCTCCACTCTCAACTGCTCACACCACCCGCGTGATAAGCCCTTATCTTTTCTTCCCTCCCTCCCTGCCTCCCTCCCCTCACCCACCACGCACACAGCACGCCCATCAGTCTGCACCTCACAGCCGCCCAGCCCCAGTGGACCACCAGCGTGCGCTGGCTGCTCTCCTGCTCTCCCGCACCCCCATCCCTCCACCTCTCCTTCTCCCACCCCTCCCTCATTCCCCTCATCCGCCGCTCCTTCACTCTCCCCTCCTCTCCGGCCGCCTCCTCCCTCTCATCCCTACAACTAAGCTTGGGTGTCAGAGAGAAATTCACAGAGGAGGATTACCGCCAGGGGGATTGGAATCTAGCCTTTCTCAAGACCTGCTCCTCTCTGCGTTCCCTGACACTCGGACGTGGCCTTTGGCGCTTAGGTAGAAGCTGCCTCAACGCGCCCTTTTGCTGTTTGGGGAGTGGATTCATATTTCTTCCTTCAATGTTGCCTCTGTCTGTGCGCTGTACCTCAATGGTCTGATTAATCTGCCGCTGCCACGCCCCCACCACATCCCAGCTGACGTTCGGAAAGCCATGGAGATCTGTGGAGACTCGTTTGTGTATCTGCAGGTTCCCGTGGTCGCGGCTGCGAAGCCTCGGGATTGTCGTGGCGAGCGATTATGATGTGATGAACCCAATGCGAGGGGAGATGGCGGTGGAAGATGTGGAGAGAGCAGATGGGAATGAGATCATCGAGTGGACGAGAAAGCAGAGGAGGAAGGAGAAGGCGGAGGTGAGGGAGACGGAGCACAGGATGAGGAATCAAGGGCTCACTCGGTTTCATGCAGGCCCGTTTGACAACCAGCTTGGGGTTGACGATGTTGATGATGATGATGACGATGTTTATGGTCCACTGGAGCGAGAGACGCCTTCACGCAGATCTGCTCCCACTCGACTGTACATCCCTCTGAAAATCCATGCTCCAAATCTGCGGGCCATCTTCTTTCCAACCCGCCGCAGCACACCCCGAGCCTTGCTAGCAGACCTGAGGGCGAGGCATCCCTCTCTGGCGCTGTACTGTGTTGCAAGGCACACGTGGTACTGGGAGAGGAAAGGGACGAGGGTAGAGGGTGGGCCGGTGACGCATGTGAGGGGGCCGAGAGGAGGGAAGAGCAGTGTGTCGTTTAGGAATGGGAGGAAGAGCGTGCGGGACAAGATGCACAGTGTGAATCGTGGGCTAATGGAGGGGTACACACTGGATGATGAGGAGTGATTCATGGTGGAAAGACGGAACTGGAAGCATGTGGTTGGTGAAGAGTGGGTGAGTGATCGAAATGGTAGTGATAGTGATGAGTTTGATGACGAGTACAATGAGGATTAGGATGAGTAGGTAGGGACGGGGATTTGAAGGAGATGAGGTGAGAGTGCATTCTGGCACATGGTTTCATCTTTTTTGGCAGGCCAAGTGGATTATACGTAAGGCATGCTTAATGTTGGCTCTACAAAGTAGACCCATTACCATACATGCAGAATGCATATCCCGACAACAGGTTGGCAGATTTCAATTAATTAGCTTGTATGGAAGGTCGATATTGTAAGAGTCAGAGGCCTAGGAAAGCCTTGTTTTAGGATCTGAACTAGTAGTTAATTAACAGAACAAAAAAAAGAACAAATGCTTGTGGTTTATTCACAGGAAGTTCAATTTCGAAGTAGCATGATTTATTTCACCGCTTTAGACCATTGCACATCCGACTGCAACCTGCAAAAGTCAGCTGTATTTGAAAATGAGAAACCCGATTCAGTAGGCATGTTGCAGGGGGTCACACGCCAGAGTGTGTTGACCAGGCTGTCCAGAATGCACACCACGACCATCACTCAGTCACTTCCATTCCACTTGTTATGAGTTGTATGAAAGAAGAGTGCGCAGAATGCAATATCGCGGAAGTGATTACAACTACTGAGCAAACAACAGGGCCTAGGCATAATATAGCATAGCTAGCTAAGCCGGGATCGTGGAGTCACGCGAGGGTTGGGTGTAGGTTTGGGTTTGGAAAACCCGAAAGCGACGCGGAAGACGTTCGGGAGGCGAGGTCGACGGACCGAGCCTGAATTCCGAAAATTGGGGTTGTACGCGTAAGAGGTGCCTCAGTAAGGAATTGGCGAAAATTCCTTACACTACCCCCCCCTTCAAGAAAGGTGGTCAACATCAGGCACGTGCCGGCGAGCAAGATATTGCCGAAGGACCGAGTGCCCCTGTAGTGAGTCAGCTGGGACCCACGTGTCGTCGCCGGTCGTGCGATCCACCCAGCGAAGGAGAAAATCGACGTGTCGTCCAGCGGGGGTCGCACGAATGCGATGATTCAAGATCTTCCAAGGTTGGAGTGTGGGGTCTGCCACCGGTCGGACACTTGGCGTCTGGTGGGGTCGAGCGATGTCAGATGACTGGGGTGCCACGTAGTGGCAAAGTAGACTGACGTGGAAAGCGTCATGAATATGCCAGTCGTCCGGGAGAAGAAGTTTCGCAGTGACCGGTGTAAGCATCCGAATGACGCGGAAAGGCCCCACGTAGCGTGGACGTAGTTTTGCAGGTTGGGGCAGTTTGAGGTTTTTGGTGTCCAGGAGAACCATCTGCCCCTCGCGAAAAGGTAAATTGCGGCAATGTTGGTCAGCGTAGCGGCTGGCGTTCGAATTTGCTTTTCGGATAAAGTCCGCTGCTTTGGCGCGCGCTGCCTGGAGCTCCGAAATAAACTGCTGTGACCTGGGGACCGGGTTGTCGGGAGTCGTGGATGAGGGTACTGTGAAAAGAATGAACAGGAATGAAAATGACTAAGTCAGAGTTGGGTACAAATACAACCCTAGAAAGCTGTACCCCGTATGTGCTACCCCACTATAGCCTACAAACATGCATCAGCTATAATACTCTGACACACCCCCATAGGCTAAGTGGGGGAGAACAAGGGGTCACAAGACCAGTCAAGCAAAGCAAAGCAAAGCAAGCTCAGGGTGGATCACAAAGTCACCACACAGTCCGAGCACAAGAGCAGGGCCAGAGGCCAGTTCACATGCAGGAGTACAGACATATATATAAAACTAGACAAGCAAGAGCAGGTATATATATATGTCACAGTACAAGTGAAGTCAAGAGGAGAGCAAGTGAGGCAAGACAGGTACAAGACCCAGCTGGGTGCAAAAGCGCTGATGGTCACAAGGCGCGAGTGCCTTGGTGAACACATCAGCAGTGTTGGCCTCAGAGGCCACGTACGCAAGTCGCAACTGACCACGCTGCTGCAGCTCACGAGCAAGGAAGTAGCGGAGAGCAATGTGCTTCGTTCTGTGCTCCAAGCGCTGCTCTCGACACAAGGCCAGCATGGCCTTGTTGTCTACGTACAGCACTGGAGGAGAACGAGGCGGCTCTCCAAGGTCAGTCAGCAGGTAGGTGAGCCAGCGAAGCTCCTGTGCAGCCATGGCCCCGGCGTAGATCTCAGCCTCACAACTGGAGCCGAGAACCGAAGACGAGCGAGTAGACCGCCACGAGACAGAGCCGGAACCAAGGCTGAAGGTGTAACCCTGTGACGACCGCTGCGTAGCCTGGTCGTCAGCCCAAGAAGCGTCCGCGTGGCCGGTAAGGACCACTGGACTCCGCCCTCCAAGCACTAGTCCCATGCCCGACGTACTGCACAGGTAGTGCAATACCCTCTTCGCTGCAGCCATGTGCTCCGGTCTGTGTCTCCCAGGAGCAACATAGCGAGCAAGAATGCTCAGAGGGTATGCAAGGTCAGGTCGTGTGCAGGTCATCAGGTACATGAGGCAGCCAACAAGCTCTGCATACGGACCACTCGACTCTACGGACTCATCCGAAGGCAGAGCTGAGAGTGAGTGGCGAGTAGGCAGAGGAGTGGCCTGAGGCGAGGAGTACGTGAAGCCGAAGCGCTGAAGGACCTGCTGCACCATGTGTGACTGAGTCAAGGTAATGGTGCGGCGTGCTTTGTCCCGAGTGATCTGCAAGCCAAGGTAGCTGCGCAGTTCACCCAGGTCTGTGCACGTGTGTCTCTTCAGCAGCTCGGACTTCACGTAGGCGAGTCCAGCAGTGTCCGCTGTGGCAAAGACCAAGTCGTCGACGTACACGAGGATGTAGAACGGCGGCAGGGAAGTGTCGGTGCGAAGAAACAGCGACGGGTCAGCAGTAGAAGGAGCAAACCCAAGAGCCGCAAGCGTAGTCCTCAGTGTGTCGTGCCACTCACGCGGTGCCTGGCGGAGACCGTAGACTGGCCGTCGGAGGCTCCACTGGGTGCCAGGAGGGAAAGTCCCAGTGAAGCCAGGTGGACGGCGAAGCCAGATCTCCTCGTGCAGGCTACCCTGCAAGAACGCAGTGCTGAAGTCGAGAGAGTGAAGCTCGTAGTCGCGCTGAGCGGCTATGTGCAGCAGCACCCGAAGAGTAGTCATCTTCGGGGTGGGAGAGAAGGTCTGAAAGTAGTCAACTCCCTGCCGCTGACTGAAGCCACGAGCAACGTACCGTGCCTTGAAGACAGGTGGAGAGCCCGGCGGCCGCTTCACCCTGAAGATCCACATGCCACTGACGATGTTCGCCCCAGGAGGGGGAACCGCGTCAACGTAGGTGCCTGTGGACTTCCAGGAAGCCATCTCTGCATCCATAGCTGCCTGCCACTGAGAGGAGTAGGGACCCTCTACGGCCTCCGCGTAAGAACGCGGAGTCGGGATGTCTAGTGCATCCGGGTCTCCCTCAGGGGCAAGCAGTACAGACGCGAGATGAGGTGAAGCAGCCGCTAGACACTGTAACTCCTCCTGCCTGTCCTCTAGGACGTCCGTGCCAAGAGCACACTCACCCCCGACGGACGGAGGACAGACAGACTCAGACTCAGCGACAAGACTAGCAGCGTAGTCTAGGCGACAGCGAGCAGCAAAGTCGACGAGCTCAGCAACTAGGGCAGACGCAGCAGTGGACTCGAAAGAAGGGTCAGTGACGACAGTAGCAAGGAGACGCGTGACAGTAGGACTGGCAGCACGAAGAGAGTCCGACTCAGGGTCGGCAAGCGCAGGAAGAGAGGACTCAGGAGGAGAAGGCAAAGGGGCACGCAGAGGAGCAGTGGACGGACGCAAAGACATCCGGTGCGTGCCAGGGACAGGAGGAGGACGCTGACGCGAACTGCGACCACTAGCGCGAGCAGTACGAACAGGCGATGCGGGACGAGACGCAGGCTCACGACGCTCAGCAAGACCTCCAGTAGGACCAGTGTAAGGAGAGGGAGCAGGCAGTGGAGAGGAAGGCTCCAGCAGGGACTGCGACTGGACAGGCGGTGGACCCTCTACTGGAGGAGAAAGACCAAGAACCTGCTGCAGGAGCGGAACGAAGTACGGCCGAGGCCGCGCGGCAGCTCCAGACACAGCAGGGACAGCACCAGCACCCTCAGTGACAGCACCAGCGCCACCCACACCTCCAGCGGCAGGACCAACAGCAGCAGGCTCAGCACCAATGCCCTCAGCAGCTCCAGCTCCAGGAGAACCCGCAGGTCCAGCAGCTCCGGGACCGGCAGCACCCGCACCCTCGACGGTCGAAGAAGCTCCAGCTCCAGCTCCAGCAGCACCTCCAGACTCAGCAGCACGCCTCCAGCGGCGAGCGAACCACTCGCGCAGCTCCTGTGGAGAGAGGGGCTCCCGGCGAGACGCAGCAGCAGGAGAAACCCCAGGCTCAGCAGCTCCAGACGCAGCACCCCTAGGCTCAGCAGCTCCCAGCTCAGCACCCCCAGGCTCAGCAGCTCCCGACTCAGCACCCCCAGACCCAGCACCTCCAGGCACAGCACCCCCCGGCTCAGCACCCCCAGGCTCCGCACCCTCCGCAGAAGCACCCTCAGGCCCAGCACCCCCAGGCTCAGCACCCCCGCGCACAGCACCCCCAGAGTCAGCACCCCCAGGCTCAGCACCCGCAGCAGCACCAGAGTCACCAGTAACCTCGACCGGGTCAACGGCGTCTACCTGGGACACACCTGAGGGGGCAGGAACCTGAGGGGGGAGGGGGTCTACCGGGGGGGGAACCGGCACAAGGAAGTCCGGGGGAGGGGGGAGGGAAGGAGTGCGGTAGGGGAAGAGACGGTAGAAGGGGACTGACTCGTCGAACGTGACGTCCTGGGAGGACAGAACACGACGAGAGGAGGGGTGGTAAAACTGCCACCCTGGGGCGTCAGTGGGGAAGCCAAGGAAGACACAGGGAGCAGCACGAGGGGACAGCTTGTCCGCAGACAAGTCGCGGACAAACGC